TTTATTGGTCCAGTGGTGAGGATTTTTGCCTTCTTTACATTGAGATGTAATCCATACCGAAGGCTGTGGTCTTTGATCTTCATCAGTAAATCTTTAAGTCCTCTTCAGTTTCAGCAAGCAAGGTTGTATCATCTGCATATTGCAGGTTGTTAATGAGTCTTCCTCCGATCTTGATGCCATGTTTTTCTTCATAGAACCCAGCTTCTCGGATTATTTGCACAGCATACAGGTTGAATAAGTAGGGTAAAAGAATACAACCTTGTTGCACACCTTTTGTAATTTTAAATGAGTGGTTCTGTTCGAACAACTGCTTCTTAGGTCCAGGTACAGATTCCACATAAGCACAATATGTTACGGAATACTCATACTCATACTTCGCAATTTTGTCCATCGCTTGTCATGATTTGACAACAAAGATATGAGAGACCATATGAAACAGATACAGATGGAAATCCTGGAACCCTGAACTTCAGAGGAAAGGTTAGAGAATTGGTCTGAGTGCATACTGGGAGGAGAAGCTGAGCAGGGACAGCAAGAAAAGGAGACAGACTGGTGAACAGCTGGCCAGACGCATCACAACCATCTTAGGAGCAGCTTTGTCAACAGAAGGTGGTATGGCAGAGCAGATTCCCAGTGCCATTGTTTCTTTTTCCTCCATGATCCCCTGATGATCAGAGGTGTGGTCATGTTCCTTGCTCATCCGCTCCCAGTTTAGACTGTGGTCTCCAGGAGTTCCGAGCCAGAATGAGGTGGGGGCCTGAAGTGCTGCTTCAGTGTGCTGCTTTGGCGCCTGGATTCAGGCAGGCTCAGCTCCAGACCTGCAGAACCTGTAGAGCCACTATATCAACATTTAGCCAGTCACCCTTCCTGCGGCTGCCCTGTGGTCTTAACAGACACTGAAAGCAGCTCCATCAAGGGCCTCCAGGAACTACTTCCAGATTGAGTGCTCTAAATATAGATAAAGATGTCAATATGAACTCAGTTTTGTCAGGAACTCTGCTGTCACATCCCTCCCACACCCATCTCTTGAGCTTCTTGGCTTGTGGAACTCCCCCCAGTTTTCTCCTCTCTGTGTCCAACAGCAACAATAGCTTTTGGGTTTTCCTTTTATTGTTTCATTATTTTTGTTTTTTTACTCTTCTTTATCCTCCTTTTTTTCTTTCCATTTCTTTGAATTTTTATCCTATCTCCACTGTGGTCCATTTTGTCTTCTGTGTCTCATTTCCCCCTTTGATTTTTCTTTACTACTTTCTACTTTCTCTTCGGTTTTTTTCCCTTCCTTTTACTTTCTCTCTAATTTTTCTCTTCTATAGCTCCACTCTCCTGTCTCTGTTCTCCTTGAATTATTCTTGTTTTGTTTTTTCTGTGTCCTCCTTTTCTCTTCTATTGCTCCATTTCCCTGTCCATCTTATGTCTTTATAGTTATTATATTCTTTTTTCTTGTTTCTGCCAGTTTTTATTTCATTTCTCTCTTTATTATTTCCTCTTTACATTGTTGGTTCCTTGTTTGTTCATTCTCTTTTGTTTTCTTGTGTGTGTCAAAGCTCTTTCCCATCCAATAGAAGAGAGCAATCTTGACAATACAGCCCAACCAAAAGCATACTCTCTGCAACTCCACCTACTGGGCAAGAGCCAGTACTAGTTCCTATACCACCTGATCAATGATGGACAGAAGCCAATATCAGCCAAACCCACCCTAAACTGAGGTACACAAACGGTGAGCAAGAACAGTATATACACTTCCATCCTCTAACTACACCCAAAGGAGACAGTTACATCAGATAATTTTAGCTCACATGAAGAAACAAGAGAGAATGGCTCAAACAATGAACAAAATGCTGAGCCAGCATATGTTTCTGAGGAAGAAAAGGAACTGGAACTAACTGAAAAAGAATCCAAAGCAATTCTCATTAGGTATCTTCAAAGGATCAATAGAAAATTCGAGGAACAAGAACACAGTAAATACGTTAGAAGAATTCAGGAAAACACTACAAGAACAAACAAAATAAAAGCAAATTTTGAAACAATATAAAACCTGCAATTGGAAATATAGAAGATTAATACTAAGACCTCAGAAATGAAAGAGCAATGAGTAGATGCAAAGTAATGGAGGCCTGAATTAGTGAGCTTGAAGATGATCTTTCAATACAAGTATGCTAGAAGAATAATAAGAAAAAAGAGTGAAAAAATATGAAGAAAGCCTAAGAGTTATGTTGGCTACCATGAAGAGGAACAACTTATGAGTGATCAGAATTCCAGATCAGGAAGAGATAATAAAAAGCACAAAGAGAATTTTCAGAATTGTTGAAAGAAAACTTCCATAACATCATGAAAGACCAGAAGAAAACCATTCAAGAAGCTGAACGAACAAACTCCAAACAGGATAACCCCCAAAAGAAAATAACCAAGACACATCATAATCAGACTTTCCAAAAGCAAAGGAAAGAATCCTGAGAGCAGGTTGGGAAAATGAAAAGTTACCTACAAAGGAGAACCAATAAGACTAAGCTCTGATTTTTCAGCAGAAACCATTAAAAGTAAAACAAACCTACAAGACTGAAAATAGGGAGCCAGAGATATCAATTTATAGTGAAGTCAACTACAAAGCAAAAACAGAGAATAGTGTTGCTACAGAGTTTCAAAAGACACGGAAACCAAGTAGATTTCAAGACAAAAGAGACCGTTTTAAATAGGGAAAAATACTAACAAATTGCAGGATAACCTCAAAGAAAATGAATACACTTGCACATCAAAATAAAAAGAGAGGAAGATCAGAAAGATGTAGTAGTAGTTGCTGTTGTTGTTAAGTACCAGTTCTGACTCCTAGTGTCCCTGCACAGGGTTTCTGAGGCTGTAAATCTTTATGGGAGCAGAAAGCCTCATCTTTTTCCTGTGGAACAGCTGGTAGTTTCAAACTGCTCACCGTGAGGCTAGCAGCCCTATTTGTAACCACTATGCTATCAGAGCTCCTTAACACAACAGAATGAAAGATGCAAAGAAAACCCACAAACAAAATGAATTCAATTATGTGAAACAAAGAAACCAGCAGCACCAGAAAACAAAACACACACACAGCAAAAAGACAGCTACCAATTCACACCTACTGATAATGACACTGAATTTAAATTGATTAAATACACTAATCAAGAAACAGAGACAAAGCTGAGTTGATAAGAAAACGGGATCCTTCAATATACTGTCTTCAAGAGACACATCAAAAAGATGGAGACAGCCTAAATGTCCATCAGCAGAAGAATGGATAAACAACCTTTTTACATACACACAATCGAATAGTATGCAATGTTGAACAATAAAGATGAATCTGCAAAACACCTCACAACATGGAGAACCTGGAGGACATTAAGATGAGTGAAATTATTAAATTACAAAAGGACAAATATTGTATGAGACCAATGTTGTAAAAAGTTAAGAAAAGACGTTCTTGATAAAGAAAAAATCTATGATGGTTATGGGGTACAGAGAGAGGTGGGCTGGGAAAATTATTCACAGACTAGACAGTAGACACATATTAACATGGGTGACAGGGTAGACAATATACAACAAGAGGGAGGTTAACAGAGGAAAAATGAAGGTAGCAGGAGTCACAGGGAGGAATGCTATATTAAAGTGAATAAAGGTAAATACTGTTAACTGTTGGTATATGGAAGGGATTGCAACCATCGTAAATGAAGCAAAGTATATGATGTGTTGAATGTAAAATTGATGATTTTCTCTATAAACCTTCACTCAATTCACAATAAAAAGTAAAAAAAAAAAGAGAGAGAGAGAGAGAGAGAGAGAGAGAGAGAGAGAGAGAGACTATTAGTCCAATGGACTAATGGAACACAAGAATATCAGTCTCCATAACCCTGAGACCAGAAGAATTATATGCTGCCCAGCTACCACTACAAAATGCTTTAAAAGGGATCAAATTAGAAAGTCCTGGATAGAGTGGGAGAAAATGTGGAAAGAAACTCAAAATTGCTTATCACTTACTACTGACCAGAAAGAGACTGGAGGAGCCCAAGACTATGGCCCTAGGTCACCCTTCAGGTCTGAACAGAACTCACCCTCACAGCTAAATTATGAGTCAACCAGTAGATAGGAATATAGTGAGGACACCAACACTAGTGTTGTATGTACACCATAGAATGACCAACCCTTTAAGATCAAAAGAGCAGCATTTACCTATGGACAAAATTCAGAAGGGTTGGAAAAGAGGAAGGAAGGAAACAAGAATTACCAGGAAGAAGTGGGATATGTGCCATTACACTGAGGGGATTGTAGTCATTGACATAAACAAAATATATGATTTGTTGAATGTAAAACTGATGATATGCTTTGTAAACCTTTACTCAATCCATGGTAAAAAGTTTTTTAAAAATTTGTTGAAAACTTAAGATTTGGTCCAATATTCCTAGAATAATCTAGGAACGGCTGACTGGCTGTTTGCCACTGGGTTGGTTCTGAGTAACAGAAACCCTGTGTTGGGTATCTGAGGCTATAAATCTTTCATCAAAGGAGCAGAATGTCTCATCTTTCTCACACGAGCGCTGGTGGACTCAAACTGCTAACCTTGTCGTTAGCAGCCCAATGCACTACACACCACCACAGCGAGGTAGAATAAACTAGGTGACAGCATGATTTATTCTGCAACATGAAAATCCTTAAGAAACCACAGCTTCTACATTATTGTCATTATTTAATTTAAAAAAATGCACTAAAAGCTACTAGTACCTATGGTTTTATTACATTTCACCAATACTGATTTAGACACATTACTATGTAGATTAAATTAGATCTATTCTTGAAAAGTACAGAAAGGAAATTACCTGTTGATCTGAATCTGTTTTTAGTACAGATCTATCTGTAATCAGGACTGCTCTGGAGATTTGCCTACAATGCACAAGACAGTAAATAAATCAGTGATGTAAATTCCATGGATATAGTTACATAATTAAAAAGTTATAGTTACATAGCTACAACATGCACATTTCAAAGATTTAAGTAAGCATAAAAGTGTCACCTCCTAAGACAAAGTCAATTTCTGCTTTAATCTTTTTCATGCTCATGAAAGGAATATGACAACCCACAACTGAAGCAAAGGAACTGAAGTTATTCTGTTATGTTAGCTGCCACTGAGTAGGTTCTGATTCATAGTAGCCCTGTGCATAATAGAACAAAACACTGTGATGTTGTGCCAACCTCACAACTGTTATATTTGAGCCCACTGATGCTACCACAGTGTAACTCCATCTCATTAGATGTAAATCGATTTCATCCTATTTTTCACCTATCTTCCACTTTACTAAGTATGATGTCCTTCTCCAGCGACTGGTCCCTCCTGACATATCTAAAGTACAGGGGAGTCTCATCATCTCATTTCTAAGGAGCACTCTGGCTGTACTTCTTCCAGGACAGATTTATTAGTTCCAGCAGTCAATTGCACTCTTAATATTCTTTTTTATTTTATTTTACTTTTTTATGTTTTTATTGCGAACTGAGTGATAGTTTACATGGGAGAACATCGGTTTTATAGTCATCCTATCATATTTCATTTCATTGCAATGATTACAATCCCTTCCGTGCATCATCATTCAATAGTATTTGCTTCTATTCCCTCTGTTGTTGTTGTTTTTGGATGTACACAAAAACACTCAGGAATATGCAATCATTCAAACTCCCAAAGGGCATACGCTGCAAGCCTGCCCCCCAGCCACCAGCACACAGCCCCTCTCCCTCTATGAGTCTAGAGTCCCCAGCTGCTCCATCTCTCCACGTCATCATCTCTGCTTCTATCTGTGGTGTCGCTGCTTCTCTGAATAGGGTCCCACACTCCACTCCCGCTCTTCTCCTTTTATGGTCCCAGGGTCCTCCGCTCCTAGACTGCAAAATCAAAGACTCCCCTTTTTTGCTACAAAACGTCTACCTTTACATTTACACAATCACAATCAGTCAGGATAACAGTTACTCACTAATGAACCACAAGAATCTTATCAACCCTTCTCCTTTCGCCAGCCCAATCTAGATGGGTTGAAAACCATTCAGTGGAGATTCTACCTTCGCCCGCACCCTCTGAAACTAAACTCCCTCTTGAACACTTGTAAGCCAGTCACTTCGTGCCTTTATAGCCCCTCTATTTTAGGTAGCCAATGTCTAAGTTGCCCATTCCTATCTACCCTATGTACAGAGGGGATGGGAATGATCCTTGCTGTGAAGATTCCTTCCCTCTTAGTTCATATTTTAAGCTACTACATCCACATGTATAAGTCAAGTTCATCAAGTTGTAGTGAATTACACTTGTTTTATCAAAAAACAAAATAAAACAAACTACCCTTTGCTTTTGAGTCAGTTTTTCTTTTTTTTAAATGTTTTATTGTGAATTATATGATAGTTTACATGGGAGAAGTTTCGTTTTACATTCATTCCATCGTATATCATCTCATTGCCATGGTTCCAATCCCCTCCATGCATCATCAACCACCCAAAGGGTATATCCCAGAAACCCGCCCCCTACACTTCCCCCTCCTCACCCCAGTTTTCGGCCCACAGTCCCTTTCCCTCTCTGGGTCCAAAG